GCCAAACTTTTGCTCAACTCAGGCTAAAAAAAGCCCGCATTCAAAAAGTTCGAGTCGAGCTTCAGCCGGCTCGACTCAACTCATTGACACCCCTAGGTGTGCCATAAATTTATTAAATATAATATTATTAAATAATTGTCATTCAAGACGTTACTTTGAGTCGGAGCATTTAAAATTGGTGTGTGAGATATAGTTTATATCTTTGATTAGTAAATGTATCTAAATATATTATCTTTCGACATTCTGGTTCGAATTATTTTTCGTGATGATTTAGCTAATGAGGCACCTATACATTATTTTCAACTTTTTAATTCTCCCATAATGTTGAGAGAATTGTCTAATTAAATTGACAATTAGCAACTACTTTGTGAAATATCACACGTAAAGCTTGACATATTATATAAGGATTCAAACTATTCATTTATTCTCATCATTTTTTACTTTCCATTTTAGGGCATTATAGTGGATCAATTTTATATGACTATCAAAATAATTAGATGGAAAAATTAGGTTCTAGTCATAAGCTAATTATAACTAGGAGAACTATGATATTGATATGATACGTAATAGTATTCCCTACGTAGAAATGAGATGTAGTTTGTTCTCGATTAAATTAATTGGAGACGTTTAACAAACAATAGTGTTATCCTATTTATCTACATTTTAACTAACATTTGTTAAAAAGTTGATATTTTGGATCACTAGCATTAACAAGACATATTGTCGTGATTGTATAATCTGAAAATCATATTTATAATTTAAGCAATAATTTAATAAATTTCAGGTTGCGAACACCATGTAATCATCTAATATTTGTAACAAATCTATTAGATACAAATAATATTAAATGGTCAATATGGAGGACGAAGGTGCCCCATTTATCACTCCGATTAATTTTAAGAAATATTGGAAATCTGATCCCTATTTTAACTAATGATTGTTATTGAAAAAAATTTATGAAAGAGAATTAACATTTTATAAGATTTCATTGGATTGAAAAATCTTGTGGTTCTACATTGAATATCCATTCGAATAATTTCGCATCATTATTGATCCAATGATGGCCCAACTAGTCATGCCAAATAATAAAGTCAAATTGAATTTCTGGTCTAATAAAAGATATAATTCTATTATTTAATTTCAAAAAATATGATCAAATATTATATAATCATATATAATTCAAGTAGTTAAATTAATCAATGTCCTCATGACATTAGTTATATATTTTCCTTCAATGATATACATGAATTCAAAATGATGTATTTTTCGAAATATATACTACTTTAAGAGCACGTCATATTTTATTATTACTTCTTTATGAGCAATATGTTAATATTCGTCTGAAATATTGGAATTTAATGCCTTGCTTGTAAGGAGCAATAGTATATATTATTTTAAAATATAAATTATATAAAGATTTACTATTCAAGTAAAAAAAAATATAATTTATGTTAGATTTTATTTAATTATGCTCTTCAGAAGCAAGTAA